CCTTCTTCTTCTTCTTCTTCTTCTTTTTCTTCCTCCTCTTCCTCACCCACAATTCATAGATTTGTTCCTTTTCAAGTCCCTTAAAGATCTTGCATGTTCCATTTTTATTTTAAAAATCCTTTATTATTGCTCCTCACTGAAGTTATAGGTTCTTCTACCTTGTCTTCAAGGCTGGATTTTGTGTCCTCAAGATCCATTATAGTTGTGAGGCTTTCTTCTGAATGCTCTCCTTGCCTTAATTTTTAAAATATTTCATCACTATTTTTTCATTCATCATTTGTATATATGTATGTGTGAGCACCTGTGGAGGGAGGTGACTAGAGATAATAGGACAACTTGAGCAATTTGGTTCTTTCTTTCCACCATGTGGGTTCTGGGATCCATCTCAGTGTGTTAATTTTAGCAGCAAGTGCCTTTACACACTACATGATCCCACCAGCTCTGTTTGGCTCATCACAGTGCTTATTACCAGTATCACATATGTTTGGTTGTTTCTTCAGTATTTTTTTTTATTGAACTCCATTTTCATGTCTTCCATGGACTTTCTTATTTCATTCATCTGTTTATCTTGGAGCTTATTTAGAAGTTTTTTTCATGCCTTCTTTTATTTATTCAGACATATTTGCTATCATTAAATTCTTTGTAATTTTATCCAAGTCATTGTCATTGGGAGTCGTTACTCTGGGATTAGTAGATTTTGGAGGAGACATGCTGTTTTGGCTTTTCATGTTACTTATCTTTGTTCTTTGGTACTTACACATCACAAATTGCATTGTTGATTTTTTTAAAAGTTATTATTAAGATCACCTTTCTTCTTTCATTTGGAAACGTGTGCGATATTAAGAAGGGACTTTTTATTATCCATTCAGTTGAGGAACATTTAGGCTGGTTCCATTTCTTAGCTCTAGGGAAAAGAGAAGCAAAAGCCACTAATATACAATTATCACTGCAGTAGGATGATTCCTTTGGATATATGCCAAGGAGTGGTATAACCAGATAATATGGTAGATCCATTTTTAGTTTTTTAAAATTATTTTTATGTCAGGAGCCGTGCTTGACATAAGCTTTGGAGAAAAGAAGATTGCCACTTTAAGAGCTACTGAGCTCTCTGCTTTAGCGGTCTGAGCCGACATGATTAATTAGGTCTTCTAGAAACTTAGTTTCGGTTTGGTCTTCGGGCACCTGAGTTGGTGATGTAATGCAGCTACATGCTGCATCTTTAGTTACTTTATGTTAGTAAAATATCCTTGGTGATTCCTTGGTTACCCCAAATCTGATTCCTATATAAGATCTGTGTTTCTCACAACAAAAATCCATCCATCCTGTGATCACTCACCTAACTGTAAG